CCCCAAAACCCCAAAACCCCAAAACCCCAAAACCCCTCTAACTGCCATTTTAATTGAATTCATAAATTGTTTCATACGAGTTAATACCTGCTCCTGTTCAAAGAAAATTCTCAAAGAAGATGGGACCTGTTGGTAGACACAGATTTCCTAGACTCCAACCTTTTGGAAGAAGGGATGTATTTGTGCTCACTTCCTCTTATTATACTGTTACTTGAAAGCCTTTGGGATTTTTCAATTCTTGAAGATGATAGATCATACTGAATCAAGAGCTTAGTAAGCGGATTTGCACATTCATTTCTCCCCGTACTATTATACCTTTGATTCTTCTCTTTAGGAGGCCTTATATCTTTTGCATTATTTCTTGAATATTTCAAAATACTTGGAGCAGGTAGACTTGAGCCCTCCTCAATAAAATGACTGAATGAACTTTTTGCTAAGCCTTTAATTGAAGTTTTTGGTGCAATAGAACTAATTCTTTCAAAAATTTGCTTGGCTCTTGATTCTTTTAATCTTTCGGTTGAGTTTCTAAACATTATCAATGTCAATCCCTTACTTGTGATATATAGAGCAAATAATAGAATAGTTGTGGGTATCTATACTCTCTATTATTCAACACAAAGCTTACCTAATTTTCTTGTTCCGGTTAAAGGCTTCCTAAAAGACTGCCTTCTAGAATCACCAAATTTATTTGATGATAACTTTAGTTGAGCCTTTGGTAGTGTCATTATTAAGACTCTGCAACATTGTTGTCTTTACGTCATAGTTCCTGGTTTGATTAGTAAGTCTCTACATATAAGCCACGATAGCATTACCTTATACAGCTTAGTGTGGTCATAACTTTTTAGGTTCTTCTCATTAGCTTTCTTCTTAGCAAATATTTTGAAATTATTTATGAACTCCTTGTTTTTGATATGATGGCTTTGTGGAAGTTTTCTCTCTCTGATTCTATATCATTATTATTGGTGGCTTACATTCGGGGCAAAGATCTTCTGATGGAGCTCCTTTGACACTCTTTCTTTGTGTCTTCTATTACTCATCTCCTTCTTCTTATCTTGATACTTTTCAAGTAAAATTGAAGAGGTATCTAATTTCGGGTTATAAAAGGCATACCTTTATTTATGGAACGAGAAATCCCTTTTAGGGTTAGTCAATCTTTCATATAGATCTTGTTTTCTGATTTTATGAAAAGGGTCATTCGATTTTAACTTTTTCCACTTTTGGTTAATTCAGTCTCTCTCAAGACTTCTTTGTGCTTCCTTCTCAACAGAAGAGTAAGGAAGACTAGAAGGTTCATAAATATTTTACCTTGCATTTGAAGTAATGAATAAAGCATTCTTGAACTTTGCTTTTATATTTTGGTTTGCACATCTAGATTTCCAATAGAATGATTATGTTATAATTGTATCAAATGTAAAAATACAAATAATTTTACTAAATAAAAGCTTTAAACTCTTTAAATTTGAGTTTTAAAACTAGCAAAGCTCTTAATCTGTTGGTTAGGGATGAATTATAAGTTTAGATTCAAATACCAGCTTTAAACTTAGAATAAACTAGCGATTTTATACCCCAAGTTTCTGGGCTTACGATTTTGGAAGTCTTGGTTCTGAGCTGAACCTGAAATTTCTCAAGAAAAATGTTAAATCTTCTCAAATATAAAATTGTGGTACCTTTCTTGAAGATTACTCGAACCTATAACTTTCTGAAATCGGAGTTTCTGTGTATATTCCTTCAATCTGCTTCTGTGAGATAAAGTAGCTTGTGGATATTTACTGTATGTCAAAAGTTATTTAAAGTTCTCAAATATCTTTTATACAATCTTAGATTTATTAAATTGTTAATAAGAAAGACTAGATAAATGTGGACTTACTCTAGTTTTGACATTTTCAATTTTTATTTTTATTTAAGGGGTTTTGGGGTTTTGGGGTTTTGGGGTTTTGGGG